GAAACATAGTAGCCGCCGAGAGAAAAGAGATTTCTTCGCATCATTTAGATTATCGACGACGCATTTACACGGATTTCCGCGGCGTTGCTGATGACGGGACCAACTTTTTTGCGAGACGCCTCAACGAGCGACAAAAAGCCCCGTTCGATCCGAACTATAAAAAGATGCGTTATCAATCTCGTCGGATATGGGACGAGGGTAAAGCGAAGAACACACGAAGAGAGAGAGAGAGAGAGAGGAGACCGCAGGTGTGCCCGCGTTACGAAGAAGTCGCAAACTTTTATTGCGACGTTTGTAAGGGATGAGGAAGAGTGACCCAGAAAGTGAGACAGTCTAGGATACTACCTGCGAATCCGTGTCGCGCTTTGAAAAATCTCGACATACACGACAGTAACGGGTATTTACAAAAAATGTAAGAATTGTCGCGAAATAGGAATATACTTTATAGAGCGAAACGCGAGAGGAAACCTCGCATCAAAAGGCAGGAAGAGAGAGAAATGGAGAGCATGATAAAGAAAATGAGACAGTGGAAACTGGGATGTCCACTCAGAAGAATAAAGGAAGGCATAATAAGCGAGAGACCGCGAAAGTAGATAAAGAATGCAAAAATATGGTGTTGCATAAAGAGATCGTAGACAGACGAGTTAGTAGTAATAAAAAACACGGTGCGAAGGAATACAAACGTATCTCGTTATCGTCTTAGAAATGATCACGTCATTACACCATTAACGACATTTATTTGTGCTACGTTTAATAAGAAATGTGAAGGAAAGAAAAATATCGAACAAAGCAGCACAGATCTTAAGATAGCTAACTACAAAGCGAAATAGATGAAGAACGAAGCGTGTAACATTTAAGATATATCTATAACGGTCGGATGCGTTCTTACAAAAACCAATATTACAACATAAAAAAAAAATGGTACTTTGAAAGGTGGCGTAGGACGCGGACTCTTAAAGCGACGCTTTTGATCAAAACGAAGCCTCTACGCGCTGCTACTCCTCCGTAAAATCAAACGCGTCTTATTGAAGTACGTAATGCCTACATAATGACAGGGGAGGAAAAAAAACACTGTATTATATACCGGGACAAATATATATAATTACATACTATCTCAAAGAGAGGTCCAGAATAAACGTGAAGAATTCGAGACGACGAGATCGCTCGGTTGGGGAAAAAAGAGCAAGGAAGTTTTCTGGGAAGAACCGAAGGAGCAAAGGAAGGAAACGAGGTTGTACGCGGATATCTTCCAAAAGTTCTTGCATCATATATAGAACAATATCAAGCAAACAGTATTTTTTCGAGCATTCTTGGGGATACAGCAACTCTCGTAGTGAAATTAAAATTAATATTATAAACGCATAATCCTGATCAAATGATACTCATCGTTTGAGATTGAGAATAATAGTTTTAGAAAATATTAAATGTCTCTGAAAAAGAAATCATCTTTTAAACTGATATATTCTCTCTAAATCTGAATCAGTGAATAGCCACTGATTACCCAGCGACATAATTGGCACTAGATAATCGATAAAGTTCAACTAAAAAGAAAAAGAAAATTTGAACATTATAATATAACTAAAATACTAATAGTTTTTTTGAACATTAATTTCAATCTTCCTTACCATGTTCATTGAATATATGCATTAAAATAAGTTTAATTAGATCACGTAATAAAGGTTAGCTAGGTCAAGGATCTCACGTTTCATTTACTGATTACCAGTCGCATACTTGGCACTGATATCAGTGATTATCCACTGATACAAATTTAGAGAGTTATTTATTCATTATTTTATAAATCGTGATTGTTTAATTGTTCTAAATATCTCTCGTTTATAGCGCTCACTCCATTTTATTGCACAGGAACATACTATCATTAATACGGCTTTTTAATTTACCGCTAAATAAATCCGAAACCTTCCGGACTTCAATTTCAGTGAAAATACCGTGCGAGCGATCCACCAATTTCTCGCGGACCGCGGAGGAAGTCGAAATTAAACATTCATCGCACGGTTTGCTGCGCGTTAATGACCACGAGAAAAAAAACAGCAACACATGGCGGGGTGCAAAGAATCGTTTGTGGAGAGTACAAAGATGAACCTAGGGAAAAAGAGAGATAGGAAGAGATAGATGGAGAGAAAGCAAAAAGTAAAGAAAAAAGGGACAGAGAAATAATTATAGCATTATTCGCAGGGGTGTATTGCGGCGGTGTTGGTACAACGAGAGACGGACAGAGAGAAGCGCATAGAAAAGAACATCGGCAGCGACCACTAAACAGAGCAACGAGAAAGTGTGAAAGGAGGAACGAGCGACGCAAACGTAGAAAGGAAGCCCTCCTTAATAAAAGACAAGGGAATATCAGCGACCTCACGCCTGGTTGTGACAACGACGTCCGCATCCCATTCGCTTCAGCGTTCCTTTGAGCGAGAAGCCATCGTCATCCCCTTCCTCGCTCCTCTCGTTTGCGACCGCGTTCCCTCACCCACCATGATCCACCGAGGACCTCAACCCCTGATAATCCAGTGCGATCCGACACAGCAAGGAAGGGGAGATTATATTTCGTTGTGTCGTCCCTATCTTTTCACGTACGCTCTCGACTAAACAGGCCATTTCATCATCACGCGTGATGTCCCCGAGTTTTCATTCGGTGCTTTTTTTTTTTTTAACCATTTTAATAATTTTCCAAAAGCCGGCGTGACAATGTTGAAATGCCAGCCGGATTTAATTTAAAAAATTTGTATAAGCTTTCGTATTACTCGATCGTGTTGATATTTCAATAAATATGGTCGAATTCGTCCAAATCTCTATACGCATAATTATACTTTTTTACATCGCTGATATAACAGAAAAAAGATATCTCATATTACATTTTGCCTAACAGATATAAAAAATATCTCTATTTAGCAAAATTATTTAAATCTCTTTTACAACACGAATGCACATCTATGTCAATATATATAATGATACAGAGAGTACATTCCTTCGATAATGTCGTATGAGAGAACCAAAATAAGTGTTTACGGCAACTTTTATCGTATGTACGAAAGCCATAAACATTTTCGCACGACTCATAAAGCCGAGCGTAAATGTTACTACTTTCAAGTTATATAGATACAGGCCCATGCTTCTTCTTAAACGAGCACAACTTCCACGCACTATTCGCGAAATATGCTCGCGCGTATCTATTTCAGGAATAGCTGCTCGTGCAGGAGCAGAGGAACAGTTTGCGGCTGTACACGCGCGTGTCGGTACATGCGCGAACGTGGCATTAAGGGCGTACAAGGGAAACAGATATGTGGACGAGAGAGACAGAGAGAGAGACGAAGAGAGAAACCGAGAAAGGGATATCGATGCATGCGCGTGACCCCGATTCGAATCACCCCCGAAACGCGAATCTCTCCGAGTTTGCAGGCACTCGGAAAATAATTAGACCCATCGAGTTCCGGTACGCAGTCTAATGAGAGGCTTCCTCGGCCGGATCTCCGCGACGGAATCTCCGCGATCTTCTTGAGCGGAATGCTAATCGCCCGCAATTACGCGATTGTATTTCGAGAAGGAAGACCGCGGACAAAAAAAAAGATACGAGGCAGGAATTTTATATTATACTCGCGTTATTTCTGCTATAATTTCGGGTGCGTCGCTGTCAATCGAGAGGACAGATTTTAACATTATTTCCTTCCCTGAAAAATCCACCATATGCGGAAATGTCAATCTCTCTCAGAAATTTATATAAAATTCTTTTTTTTTTTAATCGTTTATGTATGACAAAAATTTTGAAAAAAAAATCAATGCATATGCAGTTATCATGCTGAATACCAAGTCGCATCTAAATACTGAATTTTTTATTTATAGTAATATTTTAATACTACGCGTATTTATTCTCTTTTTTATCATTATCATTATTTGCTGATTTGTAAGAGTTGCGTACCAGAATATTACGTTTAAAAAAGGACAGAGCTTTACATTCTTTATATTTACGAGTTATACTATTTTAATTTACATTTTTCATTCTCTATTATCATTTTAATTCTTTTACCAAGCTTGACATTAAGTAATAAATGTTACTATAAATGTTGAAATGTTACTATATAAAAGAGAAATTTTATTCGTGCATTGAGATTTTTATCGTGCATCATGAAATTTACGTCGGATAAAAGTTATAAAATATTCTAGATCAATTCGCATTATAAGTCTCTATCGCGCGTATATGCATTATTGAATTGCATAACTGAAATCTTTCATGTCGGCGCTACAGTCAAGTTATGCATTTATCGTTCATTATATGATCATCTTGCCCTTAACATGATAATATCGATAGAGTTTCACAAAGGCAGAAAATGCAATAACGAGTGAAAAGCCAAGTTAACGAGTGCCTCCATTTATTATATGTATAATGAATATATAAAAGCAACACTATCATTAACATTTTCTACATCAAAATTGCAATTAAATTTATAATAAAATGCAATCTTTCACAAATTACAAATTTGCTCCTACTATCGCATGACTAATAAAAAATTTCAAAGGTCAACTCTCGTAAATGTGAAAATTCAAATTCGGTTAATATTCGTATTGTTTGCATCCGTGTATTTTTTACGCAGATTAAATCATATTAAATCAAAACAATGAAATCGTATTCAATTGGTTAATCACAAAATTCACGAATGTAAGTCGAATAAATTAATATTTTAAATACATGCCCTGAATTTTCATAAACAGGATACATTAGATTTCGAAAAAAACGAAATAAAAATTAAAATTAACGTAATAAATAAATTTAATACGTTTATTTTAATATTTTCCAAATTTAATTTTTTATACATTTCGTATCTATTATTTTTCAAATAACCCAATGTTTTAATAATATCCACATATAAATATTTAAAAAATATCTGTTTCTTTATTACGAAAAACAATTATTTCTAAAGTGCGAAAGTGAATTTTTTACAAATCAATTGCATATCACAATAATTCCCATAAGTATGAAAACAGAAACTTACGTGTCGCGCAAGATATCTCGGCGAACAGGGCGATCGACAGTAATCCAGCCACGAGGAGGAGCGTGGTCAGGAAGAACGATCTCGAGCTGCAGCCCATCACGGCATCACTACAGATCACCACCCGATTCGCGCAGTAGTCCTCGTCGGATATCACCGACGGCGTGTCTCGAACTCTCGGCGACGCGAGAGACTCGTCTCTTCTCAGCTCAACTGACAATGAGCTCGAGGATCTCACTGTCACCCCCGCGGCGAAAACGTCCAGCTGTCATCCGCGCGAAAGAGTCCACTCGAGAACCACCACCACCGCGTACGTGCCAAGCACGCGATTCAGCATCGACGATGCACCGCCGCACGAGGAAGCTGCAGTTCCGCCGCGACAAAATCGGACCTCTTGTCCGCGTCGCGCATCTCTTCGTGCACCAAATCGTCGTGTATTCTCTCTCCCTCTCTCTTTCTCTCTGCAGCGCGAATCGACACTTCACAGGCTAGACCACGAGATTCAACAATCGACACAAGACGACACCGAGGAATCTGGAATTTGCGAAAGCTCCGCGTCAGGAAATCGACGACCCGACTTCCCGACGCGATCGCTACTAATCTCCTGCGTGTAGAAGAGATTGCGACGGTACGTTTTCTCTCTAAGGTAAACTGGATTGATTCACTACTGCCGAATGCACAGCCCGATTATCGGATTTTGGAAGAACCTGGTCAAATTCCCCTGGGCGTAATGTCGCCGTAAGAGACTCGTTAAACTTGAACACTAAAGCGTTGTAAGCGACGCGACTACAGATGTCGAGATGAATTCCGTTCGGCGAAGAAAGAGCTCGTCGGTCGTTTCTTCTTGTAACGTGTTCCTGAGCCAGATTTAGTCCCCTCTAGTTTATGTATCCGCTGTCTTAGATTATTACTCGGCCAAGCACAATATTTACGCTGAATGTATGTGTACATACAGTGATTTACGGATTAATATGTTAAAAGAAAATCACTTCGGTAAGTTTGATGTACTCATTTCCACTAATATAGATTAACTTTAATCTTGATTCAACTTACTCTTCATCTTTTTCTTATGGCCATTTCTACCAATGTAAATTAACTTTAATCTCTTGGATTAACTTACTTTTTTAGTTTGATGCTTATCAGCATCATATTATTAAATTGATTGTCAATTTAATTTATGATATTACTGCTCTAGTTTTGTTAGGATTGTATTTCAAGACTGAAATTCGAAGTGCCGTTTGGATTGGATTGGATATGAGTATATAAATTCACACGGAACTATTTAAACACTAAAGCTTGACTGTTTAGGGCCTTTATTTCTGATTTGTTGTGTATTCACATTACGGTCTTAAAAGATACCGTATTTAATATAATCTACTTTTTATCTTTTTCTAGTCCTAAGACCCGATTGCATCAACGTTACTTTGACTTTAAGCGAGGCTTACAACACTCTCTCTCTCTCCCTCTGTTTAAAGGCGAGAGACAGAGAAGAAGAAAGTTTTAAGCCTCGCTTAAAGTTAAAGTAACGTTAGTGCAATCGGGCCTAAGAATTAGAAGAGGATAAAGAGTAAATTAAACCGAGATTAAAGTTAATCTACATTGGTAGAAATGAACACAATTCTTAGAACTAAAAAAAATGAAGAATAAATTGATGATATTGCAATTTTTGTTCACGCGTCGCAACAAAATATTTCATCAGAAATACTTATTATAAATTATTTGCTTCATCGACGCGTAATTTACACCAATTAATAATACACGCGTGCGTGTAACGAGTGTTCAAATCTGCGGTAAATGCACGCATATATAATACTCTGCGATTTGTATTTCACAACACGTTCGATCGACTCGTAATCTTTAATAGGATTTCGCAGAATCTCTGTCTGAAATCACTGATCCCAACTCGCACGGAAACGAGATGATCGCGATCAGCTGATTTACGGCGACGTCTCAGTTTTCATTGAGCGCAAAATTCCGTAGAAAATCATATTCCGTAGTCGAGAAAATGCGGATACAGCGCGAATCATTTATCGTTTGGTTTTCGAATCAATTGATGATTTACGCGGCTAATTGAGATATCTCGGATAATTTCGTACCGTCGGCTGCCAAATCCGCGTGCGGAAGAGCGAGAGCGAGCGAACGTTATTCGCGTCGGACGTGGACATAAATCATCTTCGTGTTTCGTGCAAACGGACGGCCTTTTAAATTGATCGTCCCGGCAGGTCGGTCGTACTTGTGGATTGATACACCGATACGCGCTTCCGCGTGCTTCGAATATTAAAAAAGTCGCTCGTAAATTATCGTTCTTCATATTCGCGGTAATGTACGTTCGGATAAAATAATATCGGAACATCCGAACTAAATGCAGAGCAAAACGAAACGGCAATTGAGAGATCGCAGTATTATTGCTCGAAATAACTGAGAAACCGTTTTCGATCTCGTTATATGATCTCGTCGAGTGTTTTTTTTTTTCTTTTTTTATTCGCGCGGCATTTTTTCAAAACCTATATTCTGAAACAACAGATGACGAGACGCGTTATTCGCTCTGAAAATTCGCGCGGGATATTTCCATTTCACGTCGTTCGTAAAATTAAACGCCTAACTTTCATCGCGCATTTGCGCGGGCGCGCGCGCGCGCGAACACACACACGACACACACATTTCTACGTGCAAATGTTGATATTTCGCATTACGAGACGAGGAAGACCAGCAACGTTAGGTAGGTAGGTAGGTAGGTGGGTTCTACTTCGTCGGCAGAACGGAGAGGCGGATGTCCGAAACTTGCGGAAGTGGGTCACGACGCGTATTTAGGCAACAGTATCTCTCGGTATCGGTTTATTCCCACCTGTAATCACCGGGCCGCAAACTGGGTACACAAAGTCCCTCGTGCATATGCATGGCACGGCCGCTTTGTGTCCCGACGACCCTTGAACCGCTCGTCTACGCGCGTGTTGTTCCTCCGCTACGATTGTTCCCGTGGCCGCCCGATGCGCGCGAGGGTCCCGTGTCACGTTCTCTCTCTCTCTCTCTCTTTCTCTCATCCCTGCCCCACCCCTTGCGCAACCCAGGAGGGTTGTCGAAATGACGTTCAGAAAAAAAGGACGAGAGGGACGATAGGTATCGCGAACATGTATCATCGACGTTTATTTTAAGGACGCCCCGTACGTCACCGGCAGCGAGCTGTCACTTTGCCCGTAAATCCCATTCACGTCAAATCACAAACTCGCGTGCACTCTTTTTCAAAGAGTCGGGAAGGGGAAAAGGGAAGAGCAAAGGTTGGACAGAGGAGGATAAAACGTAATCCGTGCGTAACGTGGGATGCGTCGAGAGCATCGTTGGCAGGCTTGGTCGTCGTGTTTCGAAAGCGCGCACTGAAACGTCCTGTGATGGAGGTAGATTAAAAAAAAAAAAAAAAAAGAACTGAAAATAAAAAAAACGAAACTAGAAAAATTCGCGCGCGCGTCACGAAAATCGAAGTGCATCCCGCGAGGTAGCGAACGCGAGGATAATCGAGAACCCGACGCGGCTCGGCCCACCCTCCTTCGCGGTGAGAGGCACGTGACGGGCTTCCGCGATCGGCACGCGAATTCCGGCAGCCGTCTGGAGCACGTGACGATCGATCTCGCGTGAGAGGACGAGTGCGATTCTCGTGTTTCTACCGAGAGCATCGCACCGTTCCTTTCAGGTTGGAAGCTCAGCTCACGGAAACTTTCAAGGATTCGCGATTCGGATCAGTCGGTGCAGCGCGAGGTCGATTGACGACGAGCTCTCTCTCGCTCTCTCTCTCTCTTTCTCTCTCTGTCTGACATCATTGTTAAACGTCAGTCGCAATATTTCATTGGTAGTAACAAGAAAATTCAGATCTCTCCGATAATCGTTGCGCTTCGGTCCACCCTTCATTCTATAAAACACACGCGGACATCTGCTCCAAGGCCGTCCACATCATCCCCTCTCACCAGGAGATAGCGTGAGCGACGTTTCCTCGATGACGGCAATCCTTTCGGCACTGCTTTCGCAAGATTAGTCCACCCTTCTCACGGCACAGCGGAAAGGGTGAGGCATCATTTGACGCACTCTCTCTCTCTCTCTCTCTCTGGTATCGCAGCGAATAAGCTCCCCGATGGAGCGCAGATTCCACAACACCTTGGCGTCTCGCTTACGCCGCGGTCGCAACGAACGACGTATACGAAAGATCGCGAGGAGACGTCACGTATATACGGCAGACGCGAAAGAGAGTAACGAACGCAACGCGGAACACCGACGGTCCGCACGGTACCGCGCGGTATACAAGATATCCGAGACGCGGATACGACGAGCGAGCGAGCGAGCGAGCGAACGAAGTTCGAGTGCGCGTCGTGCTCTCCCGCCTCACTTGGCTCCGCTCTCGGGACTGAGAGTGGAGAGAGAGAAGCACCGTCGGACTTTCGAGGGATCCACTGCCACCCCTACCGGCGTGGTGGCCGTTACCCCTGCCTGTGTGCCACTCTCGGCAACCCGCGTGCTACGACTGTGCTACGTTTCCCCTGCCGCGCTGACCCCACCACCGCTCGAGCGCCGCGCGCGCGCCACCCGCTGCGCTTCTCCTCCCCTCGTCTATCGCCCTACCCGTTTCCCTCTCTCCCCCTCCACCGTTGCCCCTTGACCCCGCTCGGCTCCGGAGAGGAGGACGACGCCACCCTAGGCGCTTCTACGCGATCCTCTGTACGTGTGTATACTACCACTGTCGAGTTGGGACCGCGCGAATCACAGACGCGTTCGGATCAAGGGATGCTTACGATATTATTATCGAGATATCCGGACGGCCGAGCTCGCGAAGCCGTGGCTTGAACCTTCAACTCCGAAGAGTTCCATTATCTTCGCAGATGAAATGATTAAATGATAAATTAAAGCGTCGCATTTTTTTTTTAACTTAACGTTTTTTTTTAAACTTACATCTGTGATAATTATTTCTATTATTTTCAATTCTCTTTCACCCTGTTGGATACGAAAGGAACAATGGTAACCCAATCTCTTGAGTAGAATATTTTGTTCTTTTTAACTTTTCCATGTTCTTTTTAACCCCACACGTGACAAAATGTAAATCAATCCATTTTGTTTTTAATTTTAAAATAAACCACGTCTACTTAACGTATACACTGGAGAGCTTATAACAAAGTTTGACCACGAGATGACAAACTCTTGATTAGCTCGTCGTTTTTGTCAACTTCAATAAATTAGAATGAGAGTAAAATAATATAAATTAGACTGAGAGTATATATGTATAAAGAGACAGTATATAATTACATATACCCTTCTCTTTTTCTCTCTTGTTTTGACAAAATTATTCATGGCCAGACTGTTATAATAGAATCTCTAGCGTACACTTAGTAAATAATAAATTAAATTTGAGTCAAATATAATACAGTTTCTTGAGTTGAATTGTCTAATTCCATTCTAATTTTTAATTATTCCATTGTTTTTTAAGTCATTACAACCTAATTTGAGTTATGTTTAATCATTTCTATAAGTTGCCACTACTCCTACTCAATATTTCATAATAAAAATAATGGAGTTCAAAAATTTAACTCTAAAAATGTATTAAATTTGACTCAAAGGTAGTTTATTAAGTTCATGTGTTTATTTTGAAACTAAGCACGGAAATGAATTGATTTACATTTTGGGCATTAAAACGAACCAAATGTTGTTTAACTCAAGGGACTAGGTTACATTACCATTGTTCCTTTGATCTCTATGGTTCAGGTAGGCAAGTATCTAACGTCCTACACTGTAAAAAAACATTTAATAAATCTTAATATACATTTCTTTAAATAGTATTAAGTAAAAATTTATTAAATATAAACATTTATTCAATAAAAAGATTGATAATTAAATTTAATTAATGGTTTTTGTATTAAATAATGTATTCACAATATATTGTATTTAGTATTTACGTATAGAGATATTTACTTTTAGAACTATTTAAATAGATATTCATTAAAATTTAGTATTTCTTTCAGTGTAATGTACTATAAAAATACAGAAGTCTTATTCTTGAAAAATATTGCATACAAAAATGTAAAAATACTATACTTGATATACACGTTACGTATTATATATTATAGATTTCTCTAATACCTTCGTATGCGCTATTTTTTAAGAATACGGTGTCAAGTCTCTCAGTTTGAAAACCTCGACATGATTTCATCAATATGAAAAGCATTAAGTCATCGGTATCAGCTATCATCACTGAATGAACATCTATTAATATTAATAGATGTTATTAATATTAATTTGCAGCTCTATGTGTCAAATTAGACTCGATATTATGCACAACCTATTGCATATTAATTAAGTATTCAAATCGAGTACGAGATTATAATCAATAAACTACATTTTTGGAGGATCCATAAATTCTCTCAGATAATAAAAATTCTTTTGATTAATGTTAGATTAGTCGATTAGATGAAGTTGAGGATAAAATATTTGATTTTCGCTCGTTTGTAAGAAATGATTTAGACCGCAAAAAATTAATGTCCATTTCTTTAATTTCGATTTAACTTACTTTTTATCTTTTTCTAATTTCAAAGCACAATGCACAATTCAAAAGCACAGGCAATAAGGGAATAACAGATTTCAACCTATATACAGAATACAAGGTTTCTGATTGATTGAAACCTGTTATTCCCTGTTCTTATTCCCTGTGCTTTTCATTTATGTTTAATGTGATCTAAAGTCTAGATTGTCTAAAGAATTAGAAGAAGATGAAGAGTTAGTTGATTCGAGATTAAAGCTAATCTATTTAATTAAAAAAAGCTGTAGTATAAAAAATATTTTGTATTTGTGTTCAAGAGTCTATTCCAGTCCTAGTTAAATTTTTATTTGAATTTTTAACGTATTTCAGTGTTAATTTAACATAATACGATTATATTATTGAATTGAAATATTGAATTGATATTTAATATTTCTTAGTGTCAAAGTAACAGAAGTTATAAGTAGATAAATAACAATATTTTAAAACGTAAACTTTAAGATAAATACCTATCAATTTAACATATCATAAATGTTAATTTTACTGAAAAAATATGCTTTCACAATTTACTTAGAAATTGTGCCAGTATTACTTTCGATGTTAATTTTTTTAATACATAATATTGTGTTGCTTTCTAACATATTCATCTTGTGTTAATTAACACAAAAAGTTTGAGTAGACCGTTTAGGGCACATGAAATATATTAAATTCAACTCGAATTTTCCAACTGTGTATATTGAAACGGACATATATAATAGTCAGGCAAATATAACGTTCACTCACCGTATTGCCACGGCCAGCCAACCGGTGACCTCAGGTGACCTCGCCAAACGGTGACATTACGACTGACTCAGGGTCGGTTGTTACATCTTCAGATAAACTTTGTAATAATTTATCTGTTGGATAAACAAAAGAGTAAAAGAGTAAGAGCATAATGGAGTAAGGCCCAGTTCCACAACTGACGGTTAACTCATAACCGAGGTTCAACTTATTCATTGTCTCTTTCCAATTTTAGAATTGGAAGATGAGAAACAAGTTGAACCTCGATTAAGAGTAATAGCGTATTTCACTGGCAGAGCTGGTGCGCATTCAGTGCACTTTAAAGCTGTTGTACACAAATCGACATAAAAATGTACGTTTAATAAAATTATAGAAATAAATTAAACCACGAAATCCTTAATACATTTTATTGTGATATTTGATAAAATATACAATGGGTATTTTATTAACTGAGATCTCTCACTTTTACAGTCAGATTAGGTTAATGTACAACAGCTTTAATGCGCACTGAGTGCGCACCGGTTGTGCCAGTGAAATACGCTATTAAGCATGAGTTGTTGGGCCTAGTAAGATAGTGAGCTAAAGTTTACCGAAAGGTGGAATAATTCAGCCTAAATCCCAAATCGGTGTTCTCGAAGAATCTTCATTCTCGTAACGATCACATCAGGAGACGGCGTCAACACACGTACTCAACAAACACACAAATACAGACAATATACGCGCGACGCGATAAACACTCGACATCCGACACTTTCTGCGTTCAATCAGACGCGGAATGCACTCTCGCGACGAGACAACAACCGTACGCGCTGAAATACGAAAGACAAGCCGCCATGACGCCGCGACGAAGCAAAAACTGCAAATGGCGGCCGCGGAACGCGATTGAGATTTCGTAACTGATTCACGATCGGCGCGCGAATTGATGCGACGCAAACGTCGCACGACGTCACTCCCGGCGCTCTGGACTCTGGACGCTCGTCGGCGCGTGCGATTCGTTCCCGATTAGAAACGTGATGGATCGCGAGGGCAAACTTACTTTTGACTGACAACCGGCGCGAAATGCGAAGTACTGACTACTGACGCTCGCGATGTAAAGTCCGATCCGCAGAACCTGCGATCCGCGTTCCGCGTGATATGTAGATCGAGCTTAAGGTGACCTCCAGTAAGGTGGTCGACGGAAAAGATAGTCATAAACTTTCAAAATGACTACAAAAACGCTCCATTTAGCAATTATTGGAAATTACAGCCAATGGCGAGTTTATCCTATGCGATCTGCACTCGGTACACTTACGACCAGAGAACGATGGGAGAACCTTAAACTGATATTCATCGTCGAATCTTATATTTAAGATCTTAAGGTCTTAAAAAATCTTAAGGCCATTCCTATGGTAAAAATTTTTCTTACAATTTTAATACGAATTGGAACATTTTTCAGAAATATTCGAACAATTTACATTTTCTCAAAGAATTTTTCATACAAGTGAATTCTAAAATATTCTGAAATTTTTCATTCCATAATTTTTAAAAAATATTTTTAAATTTTGTTAAATTTTATAACATTTCGTCAGAAATTATACTTGCAAAAAATCTTAGAAATCTTACGGTATTTCATAACATATATGGAAAAGTCTGAGAAAAGATGTAGATTTTCTAGGAAGTGTTCCAATTTGTGTGAAAAATGTGAGGAAGTTATAAAATTATATAGAAATTCTAAAAAATTATATAGAAATTCTGAAAAATTATATCAAAAATTCTAAGAAAAATTTTTCATCAGGGATTT